GGTGGTGGTGGGGGGTGGGGTGGGGGGGGGGGTCCTTGACCCACTGGGATCAGAGGGGTAGAACTGGGCCATATTGGGGGGGGTCTTCTGTTTGATGAATGAATGAAGGATTGAATCCAGGGATAATTATGGGGGTCCCTATGCCACAGGGGGTTGAGAGGCAATATTGGACACGCAGAAAAGGCGATGGGGGTGTCTCTGTCTCATAGGGAATCCAGGAGCAATATGGGGGGATCTTTGTCCCACAGAAAAATAAGACTAATAAATAGTAGTGTCCCACCCCAGAAGGAAAAGGAGGTGGGATAGGCCGGCTGGGCCCCGAACCACCTAGCTGGGGGTAAAGAGAGCTCCCAAAATAGCCTGTGAGTCATCAGGGAGAAGCGGCCCTCCCTCCTCCTCCTAGAACTGCCAGTTCTAACCCCGTAGGCATCTCCAGGGCCCCCACAGCCCCATCCCTGGGCCTTACCATCCTGATTCCGGTCCAGACTGTGGAACAGAAGTAGCAGGCGCTGTTCCCGCTCCTGCAGATAGAGGATAAACTCCTCCAGGTCAAGGCTGCCATCTGAGTCAGCATCACCCTCAGGGGAGATGCCCTGGCAGGGGGGAAGGGACAGAAGGAGTTCTGGGAGGCTGCTCCCCCAATCTGGAGGAGGCAAGACAAGCTTATGCCCGAGGAACCCAGGTCCCCCTCCCCCAGCCCCGCACCTAGAGGACCAGGGTGGGGAAGTCACCCCCGCCCTTGATCATCTCTTTCCTCAACAAGATACCCAAGGCCAAGGTAGGTCTGTGAAGTGGACAGTGGTTGTCCAGTTTTCCTGGTGAGCAAAACGAGGCTCTCCAAGGTCAAGTCACTTGTTCAAGGTTACAGAGCTGGGAAGTGAGTAGGTGGACTTGGGCTCTTGTCTCTGGAAGCCTGTCCTTCCAGCTGTCTCTTACATGAACTTGTCCACAAGGCAGTTTCAAGAGCTCTCCTTGGAGACAGCACTGGGCAATGTGGGGCAATGACATCCACACTGAACATCTGCAGGGCCTCTGTTTTCCCATCTGTAAAGTGGGAGGTTGACTGGAGGTCTCAGGGTGCTATGGAGACAGTCGAGTGGCATCTGGGCCTCCAGGTGTTGGGGGACACATGCACGGGCTTCGGGTCAAGTTCCTGCTTTGATAGGTGCATCCCCAGCTGAGGGTGGCCTCGGATAGGATTGGGTCCTTGGCTGGGACAGCCTGGGGCATAGAGCCAAGCCCAGGAAAGGACAAGGAAGGGAATGTAAACACAGAGGCTGGGGAGGGTGTGTCTCCTGGAGGTGGGTGCAGGCCTTGTGTCTCGGGTTGTGCAAAGAGTTCAGAGGAGGGTGTGTCCCGGGCAGTGGGCAGGAAAGTGCACGCGGCCCCACTCCCAGGCAGACATCCCTCACCCCGAGGGAGGAGGGGGACGGGTTTGGCAGCCGAAACTGCAGGCCTGGGGCCTCGGTGGTTCTGTCTTGAGCGAGCCCGTTAGGCCCGGACACGGGCGGGCAGGGGGAAGGGGACAAGGACGCTCAAGCTAGGAACGAGTCCTGGAGTCCAGCCACAGGCAGTCCCGGGCTGCTCCCGGCGCTCCATTCAGCGGCTCGGGTTATCCTGCGCGGGCTGGGCTCCAGCGCCACGAGCCAGAAGGGGGTCCCTGCGAAGGTACCTGTTGTGCTCCGCGGTCCGGGCTGCCCCCGCCCAGCCGGGCCAGTCCCTGGCGCAACTCGTGGACGTCCAGGCGACCATCCTTGTTACTGTCCAGCTCCTCGAAGAGGCGACCCCAGCGCTGACGCCGCTCCGCATCGCCCGGGCCCCCCCGCATGGCGCCCGCCCCGGGGGGAGGGGAGGCCCGGTAGCGGCGGCCTCAGCGGGGGCTTGACGGCTCCCCCTCCCCCCAGGGGCCCCGCAGGGCCAGCTCCGCGGCCACTGCCACCTCAGCCTCCGCGCTGTCTGCCCGGTTCTGGCGCTTGTAGGAGGCGGTGACTGCTAGCCGTCGCCGCCCGCGCCAGAACTTGCGTGTCCTCCGCATTGGGAGGGAGGGGGATGGGGGCGGAGCTGGGGTGGGCGTGTCAGGGATGCCCTCGTATTAGCACAATCTAGGGAGCAACCACGTTCATTCTGGGAAGGGGGGTTCGAGAGATCAATGATCTCAGGTCTGGTTTCAGAGTTCCGTTTCTGCGTGCCTCAGTTTACCCTCTGCCCAAGGGGACGAGGTAGGGAGATGTCAGGGATTGGGTTACATAATCCCTTTCCACTTGACCTCCCTCCTCTACTAATCCTCCTCAGGAACTAAAGTTCTCGGTTTCCCTAGACGTACTCAGAACCAACTCCGTGCCATCTAGCTCTGCAACAGCCCGCCCGCTCATTTCACATTGCCTAAGCGGCCACAGAAGCAGAAAATCAAGTCGCCTTGCTCTCCCTCCGTGTTTTCTTCGCGCCCGCGCGCCTCCTTTCTCGGTCCCACTAAGACTGGGAAACAGAAGATCAACACGTGGCGCGGCTGCAAAGTCGGTTTCCTATTGGCCAGAGCCGCGGGAGCTGTGCCCTGCGGTCCCGCCTTGCTCACCCATCTAGGCGGGGCCTCCCCACTGACCCCACACTGCCTTGGGCCCCGCGGCCCCCGGCTTGCCTAGCAGTCTTAAAGGGGCCTCTGCCGGATCCAGACGCCGAGCAGACTGCTTTCTCCGGACCGGCCTAGTGGGGGAATCTCAGAGTCCCAGGAGCGGCTGGGGATAAGGACCGCGTTGCTGGAAGCGGGGCCCCAGCCTGTAGCGCTCGCTGCACCTGCCAAATGCCCCTCCCACTAGTTTAGGGCGCGGTTTCTCGATTCGCCATTAGGGGGAGGGGCTCCCAGATCTTTTGACAGCGAATAATAATAATAGCTAACGTTGATTCATTGCTTTGCACAAGCCTTGGCCTTTTACTCACCCCTCGCGTCGTCCTCGCTGAAACCCTATAAGGTAAGTGGGACTGGCTTTCCCACTTCACAGATGACGGAACAGGAGGTTAAGCCGCTCACCGCAGTCCACATGCCCAGGAAGGGGCAAAGCAGAGATTTAACTAGACCTGGGATTCTTACCCAACATCGCTCTATGCCCTAGAAGGGATTAATTTTCCCTTAACCATCACTCTTCTCTCTAGAGTCCCCAGGAGGGGGTCGTCTTATTATCATCGTCCTTTATCCAAAGGACGATCGTGAAGGCACACATGGTTCCCACTCAGCTTCTGCCCAGACAGGTGTGCTCAAACGAGCCTCTTATAGAGGGTCCCCTCACAGACGTTTTCATTCACAGGTCGCCCTTGCAGGTGCCGTACAGATATTTTCCCACGGAGACGCCCCAAACAAATGTTTTCTCACAGATGCATCCTTGACAGGTGGACCTCAAAACACATGAGGCCCCACCCCCACGATGTGCTTCAATGTGTGCCCCATGCAGGCGTGCTCAGGTCTTCCTCTCGTGTGAACTCAATTCTATGCAGCTGTTTCCTTCACCTCACAGGTATGTTTCTCAACAGGTGTTCCTCCACCCAGGAATGCGTTATAGAGCCTCCCCTGCCATACGTGTGTTCCATTTAATCATTCACCCGTACGGGGCTCTTTCCATATAACTGGGTCCCCTACAGGTGTACTTAAATGCAGGCATGTCTTGTACAGGTGTTTCCAATACCTTTACACATAGGAATTCCTTCTGCAAGTCTTGTTCATTTCATAGGTGAGCCATGCATATGCATTCCCCAAACAGATGTACCCGGCGCCAAAGTGCCTCGGCCAGGTGTTTGTAACCATGCAGGTGTGTTCTATACAGCTGTTTTCCACACAGGTAGGCTTCCATTCAGCTATACTCCAAAGAGATGTGATTCAAAGCAGATGTCTCCCATGGGTGTTCTTACACATCCGTGCAGATTTCTTTACACGTTTGTTCCCATGCAGATGTGTCCCACACCAGTGTTTTTTCATTAGAGGCTCCCCATCCCGATCTGCCCCAGAGAGGAGTGCCTCACACATCAGTGACTCCATGCCCCGTGTGTCTCCACACCTGGACAATTCTACAGATGTACCTGCAGTGCAGGTGAGAGGCCCCTTTTACAGATGCGCGCTTCCGCTCCTTTTCACTCCTCCCGATTATGGGATTGGGTTCCCGTTACAGGTGCGTCCGCGGCGCGGACCCGCCCCCGCTTGGCCCCGCCCTTTCATCTAGGCTCAGGTGCACAAGCCGGAAGTGCGCTCACCTCCAAGGTGAGTGACTAAACTTTCCGGGTCACGTGAGCCGGCGGAGCTGGAAGAGTCCGACCGAGCCACTGACCGACGGATCGAGGGTTCGAGCGAGGGACCGGGATCGGGACCCTGAGTGGGGTCGAAGACGCCCGGGCCAGGTAGGGAGGCAGGTCACGCGACTGGGCCTGCCACCCCTCCCCCCTTCCCTTCCCTTCCCCTTTCCCCAGCCCAGGAACGCGCCGCCCCGAGTTAATCTTTAATCTCTGACCTCTGGCGGTGGGGGGCGGGGCGGGACTCCTGGGTGGCCGGCGCGGGTCGCCCCTCCCAGGGGCCTGCGCTCGGGTCCGGCCCCCTCCCCCACGCTCCGGCCTTTCTCCTTTCCAGCCCCCAGGTGCGGGGTCGAAGGTACCCCCCCACCGCCCGAGATGCGGTAGGAGCGGCGCGCGCGACAAGCCCCGTCCCCGGTGCCACCAGCCCGTCACCCGGCCCATGGCGAGCCCCGGCCTGGGGCTGCTCTTGGCGCTCGGCCTGCAGCTGCTGCTGACCCGCTGGGGCCGGGTCTGGGGGCAAAGTAGGTACCGGTCGGGGGCACTGGGGGTCCGGGCTTAGAAGCGCTGGGTGCCTGGGACGCTGAGAGGGCAAGAACCCAGGAGCGGGCATCCGATGCCTAGGTCTGGGGTAGGGCTGGGGGCGTAGAATTTCTGTGTCCTTCCTTGGACGGTTGGAGTTGGTCTAGGAGAATTCCTGAGTTGGGCGGAATTGTGAGCTCCGGCCTGCGGTCCGGAGCCTCAGTAGGGTTGAGCAGTTTGGGGGAAATGGAAGCCAGGAGGCGGCCTGCCTGGGGCTCCAAGCCCAGGTGGAGCAGGTTGACCAGAGGTGGGGACGCTGCCTTTCAGCCCTGTATTCCAGTTTCGGGAGCCTGGGGGGAGGTGTGAGTCAGACACTCCAGGGAAATGCAGGATCCGCCCAGATCCTGAAGGGCAGAGGGAGGGCCGGAGAGGTGAGGCTGGGGTTGGGGGGAAGGTTGGGCTTCCCCACACCATCCATTATAATAGCCCCCAACGCTGCGCAAACTGCAGACCACTGCTGGCTGATTACTCAGCGCTGGGCTCCCCTGGGTAAGGGGTGTCCTGTGGGGCAAAATCAGCGGGGCCAGCCCCTGTGTGGAGGCCGCTCACAGAATGAAAGACTCAAAAGGGCAGAGTTCTAACGAGGGGAAACGGCCCAGGAAGATGCAGATGCTTCCACATGGGAAGGAATAGATGGGGATTCATTTATCTTCTCTACCACTGCCCTGCAGCACCGGACCCCACTGTAAGTGGGAACAGCACAATTACACCCTCTGGCCCCAGCCCTGGCTCCAATGGGGCCCTGGTGAGTTGGGGTATATGTGCGAGAAGAGCGGCAGGGGATTTTATTCGGGAGGCCCCCCGTGTAGCAGGTGGGAGGGCCTAGATTCCCAGAGGCGGCAGGCTGGACAGTGGGGGAGGCATTGGAGAGCCCTAAGTGGGAGAGACCAGAATATCAACATGGCAAATGGGGAGACCGAGGACCCCAGGAAGGGGATGGGCAAGAACACCACGCCTGGCGGGACTTCCCTGGCGGTCTAGTGGTTAAGACTCCACGCTTCCAATGCAGGGGGCACAGGTTGGATCCCTGGTTGGGGAACTAAGACACACACACGCACACACACACACACACACACACACACACACACACACACACACAGAATACCATGCTTGGCAAGTAGGGGGTCCAGGAGCCCCCTATGCCTCTCAGGCAGGGGGAGGAGGGATCTAGGAGCCTACATGCGGCAGGCGCTTGGGAGAAGGACCCCAGACATGGCAGGTGGGGGAGTCTGGGACCCCCAGATGTGATATGATGGGGGTCAGGAACACCCTGAGTGGAGGAAGCCAGTCACCAAAAGTGGCGGGTGCGGGGGGAGGGGATTAGCATTCCCAGATAATTCTCGCGGCGGGGGTGGGGTGGGGTGGACGGGATGCCCAAGCTCAGGTGGGTCACACCTGTCCCCCCCCCAACAGTCGCAGGAGGCCACCATTGCTATCATCGTGGTCTTCTCCCTCCTGGCCGCCCTGCTCCTGGCCGTGGGCCTGGTACTTCTGGTGCAGAAGCTTCGGGAGAAGCGGCAGACGGAGGGCACCTACCGGCCCAGCAGCGAGGAGCAGGTGGGTGCCCGAGCTCCACCGCCTCCCAACCTCAAGCTGCCGCCTGAGGAGCGGCTCATCTGAATGCTGGGGCTGGCCACAGCTGCCTCCACTGCCCAGGACTGCCCGGCGCTCAGCTGCACACAGCAGCTGCCACCGACACACCAGCCTCTGATGGCTCCGGAGGACTTGGGGGGGCCACGGGGCACCTGCCGGGCGGGCTCTGCGAAGCATGCCGCCTCTGCTTGACTCTGCCTGCAGTTGGGGTGCCGGGGCTGCGGACCTGCCTCCCTGCTTGCTGCACCATCAGCCATCTGTCTGCCTGCCACACAGGCCCGACACCCCCCCTCTCCTTTCCTTTCAGTTCTCCCATGCAGCCGAGGCCCAGGCTCCCCAGGACTCCAAGGAGACGGTGCGGGGCTGCCTGCCCATCTAGGTCCCCTTCCTCTACCCATCACCCTTCCTGGCTGTGTGACCTTGGGGGAAGGCAGAGCCCTCTCTGGGCAATCAAACACACCCAGCGCTTAAGAAGACTGTGCCCTTGAAGGCAAGGGAGACTGAGGCTGCTTACTTTATATATATCTATACAGTGGGTAGAGCGATGTAATAAAACCTTTTTGTGAGCTGGTGGGGGCGGGAGTTAGCCTAGATGGAGGAGACACATAGGCTGTTGAGAGATGAGTTATAAGGTCTCGAGGGTCCTAGGGGCTGGGAGGGCTTCCTGGAAGGGAAAGGCTTTTAGCTGCACCTAAGAGCCAGACGGAGGCTGCCTCGGGAGGGAAGGTGGGGAGTGGGGTGGGTGTCTGAGCAGAAACAGGGCTCCCAGGTAAACCCACCAGGAAAAACAAGCTTTGGGCTCTTGCAGCTTTATTGAGGGGCCAGAGTCCCCTCCAGACCCCTGATTCTTAACCTTCAAAACACTTTTTAAGCTCAGCAACCCTGGGCAGGCTCCTGGCCTGGAGCCCCCGCCAGTTCCTAGCAGGAGGATCAGGGGACCTGGGCGCTCCCGGCTCCTCGTGGGGCTGGAGGTGCGTGCGCTCTGGGAGCAGGACCTCCGAAGGCTGGGCTCTGGGGTTCTCTGGGGAACCGGGATCCGAGAAAGAATCAAGGACTTGGGATGTCCAGGTAATATCCGAGTTGGGCTTTGTGGGGGTCAGAAGTGGGGGGCTTTCTCGAGGGCTGGGTGCTGTGGAGAGCTGGGAGCAGGGACTCTCCTGGGCTGTGGGATCCTCGGTTGCCTCGTGGGGAGGGGAGAGGCGTAGAGGCTGGGGCTCTGTGAGAGAGGAGCTGGGGTCCCCTTTGCCGCTTGGGTCTGCAGAAGCTGTCGAGGACTGGGACGGAGAAATGATTTCTGGGCTGGCCTCTGAGGGCAGCTGGGAAGTGGGGTGCTTCGAGGAGCTCATGGCATCTGAAGGTTGGGGGGTGTGCAGAGGCGGCAGGCCGACAGAAAGGGACAGGGGCTGGGGCCCTGGTGGTTTCTTGTCATCTGCTTGCCATCTCCATCTCCTTGGTATGTCGGGCTGGGTGGGGGTGGGGAGATGGGCACGTTGCTGGCCTTTAAATGAAGGAGGGGCCGGCAGGTTGGATGAGCAAATGGGGAAGGGCTGGGGGGGGGGGGGGGGGGCTCCCCGGGGGGGGGA